TTTTTAGAGGAGAAGGGAGGGAGAAAGAAAGGGAGAAAAACATCAATAGGCCCCCAACTGGGAACCTGGCCAGCAACCCAGGCCTGTGCCGTAACCCAAATCAACCTAGTGACCTTTGGGTTGCAGGCAGGTGCTCAATCCACTGAGCCACAGGTGCTTGGACCATTCATTGTTTTAAAAGTAAGTTTCTTATAAGTAGCATGTTTGCTGAGTCAGTTTTTTCTTAGTCTATTCTGACAATGTTGTTTTTTTGTTGTTGGTAATTTTATTTCAGTGTAAATTTGATTTACATTAAATAATTACTGTAGTATGGTTACTTGAATTGTGATATATAAATATAATTATTGATATTTGTTATTATAACCTAAATGTAATTGTATTGAGTGTAATGCTTGGATTTAGTTTACTATTTTGTTATTTATTTTTTGTTTCCTGTTTCTCAATTCTTGATTTCCTAGTTTCTGCTTGTTATGGAATAAATTTTTTTAGAATATATTATTGAATTCTTGGTTATATCTCTTTGTGTAGGGTTTTTAATGGTTTCTCTGGGGATTGCAATATACATAGTTTTCACAGTCTGCTTAAACATAATCCTTTATCACTTCAAGTGGAAAGTAGTGACTTTACGGCCACATAGTCCGTTTACCTTGCCATTTACATTTTGTTAGTTGTCATCTACATATGTTAAAAAAAACCCATTAGACAATTTAAGTTTTGTTTTCAATTGTGATATGTGAAGAATTTTAAGAGAAGAAAAAGTAGCTATTTTATTTAAACCAGACATTTGCTGTATCTCTTTCCTTCATTCCCGAAATTTAGTTTTCATTTCTGTTATTTCACTAGTGTCTCAAGAATTTTCTTTAGCACTTTTTTAGAGCAGGTCTGCTGTCAAAGAATTCTCTCAGTTATCCTCCATCTGAGAAATGGTTTATTTTCCTTTTTCTTGAAATAATTTTCACTTGGTAGAGAATTCTAGGTTGGTAGTTTTTTTACCACTTTAAAATGTTGTTTGCTTCCTCTGGCCTCCATGGTTTCTGGGGAGAAATCTGCCGTCTTGGAAGCCTTACCCTTAACATGGGGTTGTGTGTGTCTGTGCACGTGTGGCCACTTTTAAGATACTTTTGTTACTTTTCATGTTAGCAGTTTGCTTGTAGTGTCTAGACATAAGAGTTTGTTTTTTAGTTTCTTCCTATTTGAGATTCACTGAGCTTCTTGCTTGATTTTATAAATTTGGTTTCATGCCATATTTGGGGGAGTTTTTTGTCAGTGTTTCTTCAGATTTTCTTTCCCACTCTGTAAATTTTTCCTTTCCTTTGAAGACTTCAACGACCCAAATCTTATACATTTCTCATTCCCCTACAAGTTCCTGAGGCTCTATTTACTCTTCTCCATAAATTATTTTCTTGGAAAATTTCTTTTCATCTATCCCCAAACTTACTGACTCATTCCTCTATCATTTCCATTATGCTTTGTCTTCCAATGAATTTTAACTTTGGGTTGTTATGTTTTTAGTTCTAAAATGTCCCTTTTTAAAAATCTTCTCTTTCTCTGTAGTGGCAGTCTTCTATTTGTTTCACGTGTGTTTGACCTCTTGGAGCATGATTATAATATCTTCTTTTTAAAAAAACTGGTTTTTTGGTTATATAATTCCAGCACCTGTGTCATCTTGTTAGGTTTAGAGGTTTGACCCCTGGTCAGGGCACATACAAGAATCAACCAATGGCCCTGGCTGGTGTAGCTCAGTGGACTGAGCGCGGGCCTGCCAACCAAAGAATCACGGTTCAATTCCCAGTCAGGGCACAGGCCTGGATTGCAGGCCAGTCCCCAGCAGGTGACACACAAGAGGCAACCATACATTGGTATTTCTCTCCCTCTCTCCTTCCCTTCTCCTCTAAAGATAAATAAATGAAATTTTTAAAAAAAAGAAAGAATCAACCAATGAATGCCTAAATAAATGGAACAACAAATGGCTATTTTTCTGTTTTGTTCTCTCCCCCTCTCTCAAAACCAATAAATAAAAAATTAGGAAAATAAAGTACTTGTTGAGAGGGTGGGATTTTCTGTTGTTATATTATTGTTTTCTGAGTGTCTTTTAAGTTTCTTCTCCCTCTTTTTCTCTCTCCCTGTTTTCCTATTTTATTAATGTAGTGGGCTTACATAGAAAGTCTTAGAGTGATAGCAATCTGTTTTAAGCTAATAACGTTAATCACATACAAGAACTCTTTGCTGTTAGTTCTCCCTGGCCCCATCCTTACCCCAGCACTTTCTGATTCAAAGAAGTCATTTTAATTTTTTGTACATAAGTTTCTTTTCTATAAAAATAGGGATAAGCTACTCTGCTAACCCCACAGGTTCTGTAAGTATGATTTACACAACCAGAGAGGGTCCCTGAGCCTTTTTCAAGGGGGTGCATGTGATCAAAATGATTTCCACAACAATTCTAAGATGTCTTTTTTGTGTAATATGTGGGAAATATACAGAAGCACTTGTGCATACTGAAACATACTACTTCCGTTAAGGAAAAGTACATGTGTAGTTGATTGTTTTTGTGAATTCAAGTAGCTGCTTTTTAAATGGAATACAAGTTTTACTTAAAAGAGTGACTGTAGACAAACTATGGTTATGTACACTTGGATATTTGGCAAACATTTTCTCGGGAACAAATGAAGTAAACTTGTTATTTCAAGAACAGCTGACAGTATTTGTTGCCCAATGGTAAAATTTAAGGTTTTTAAGTGAAAATTACAATTTTGGAAAACTTGTATTCTCCACTCTGTGCCTTCACAGCTTTAAAGAGTCTTCCAATGAGATCATTGGTGATACTGAGGATGTGATTTCTTTTTCTACTCTCTCTGATGCAATATAGATTTGGAAGATCTGCATAAGCCTGTTAATCAGTTGTGTCCAAAATATATGATGGAAATATATGATGTTATAAAATCCTGAGTTTGGGAGATAGGCCTGTCAGTTTTAATACAACAGAATATAAATTCATTGTTGTAGTTTCAAAGTCTACATTTTAACTGACCTTTAAGAAAGTAGCACTTGCCAAGTTTGGGTATAGTATCAGAGAAGACTATGTCCATAGTCATCTTAAAAAGCTATTAAAACACTCCTTTTTTTGAAGTCCACATCTCTGAAGCCAGATTTTCTTAACATATAAAAAAGAAACCCATTTTTTTTCTCTTCACAACTCTTCCGATACAAAATGTACGCTTTTCCAAGCAGTTCTCTAATTTTCTGTGGACAGTAACTGGGAATTTTTCAGTTTAATTCATTCTTATAATAACTGCCTGGACTTAGTGCAAATTCCACAGGTTAAGGGCTCAGTCTCACAAGACTGCTTCCACCACTACTTCAGATGCTAGTTGTAAGTCCAGATACAAGTTGTCACCTGTACTTCTGGCCAAGGTTTAAAAATCCCTATAAATCAGGGATTTTTACACCTTCCTTTTGTTCAGTAATTTGCTATAATGGCTCACAGAACTTAGGTAAACACTTTTGTTTACTGGTTTATATTAAAAGATAATAGAAAGTAAACAAATGAACAGCCAGAGGAAGAGGGACATGGGGCAAGGTCCAGAATGGTGTCAAGTGCAGGAGCCTCTGTCTCTGGAGTTCTGGTGTGCTATCCTTTTGGAACATGGATGCATTTGCCAACCTGGAAACTGAAGCACTTCATTGAAGGTTTGTGTGGTTCTGGTATATGGGCATGATTGATTGAAATGTTGACCATTGGCCCTGGCTGGTGTGGCTCAGTGGATTGAGTGCTGGCCTGTGAACCAAATGGTCGTTGGTTCAATTCTAAGTCAGGGCACATGCCTGGGTTGCAGGCTAGGTCCCCAGTAAGGGGTGCTTGAGAGGCAACCACACATTGATGTTTTTCTCCCTCCCTTCTCCTCTCTCTAAAAATAAATAAATAAAATCTATTTAAAAAAACAAACTTTAAAAAATGTTGACCACTGGTTATTAATTTATGATACCTAGCCTTTCTACCTTCCCCAGAGGTCTGGCAACCAGCACCCTTTCTGCCAGTCAACTCATCAGTACAGACTTTTTTTTTGGTTGAGAGGGGCTTATTATGAATAATAGAAGATGCTTATATTGTCTCTACCACTCAGAAAATTCCAAGGATTTTAGGAGCTCTGTGCCAAGAACCAGAATGGAAAAAGTCATTCTATGTTATATCATGATGTTACAATATACATCAACCAAAACAAAAAAACACACCCAAGTGAATGTAAAAGCAGATGTGATAATCCAATAGTTTGCTATCAGGACAAATGTTAAACAGTGCCCTCTTCTAACTAATTTTTTCAATTTGGAAAAGTTATTTTCCTCTAAAGCAAATATCTATATTAACTTCTAGCAGATTTAACATTGTTAATTGTAACTGAGTCAGTTTTCTCATTTTTAATTTCTAATACTGTATCATCTATAAATAAAACTCACATAAACAAAAATTGAGGTCCTCAATTTTTAAGATACCTTATCTAAGTCCTGATAATATAGTTTGTGATTCATTGTATTAACATTCTAGGGTTTTGAAGGTCAAATGAATGTAGTATTCATGAATGTAAAATCATTTTATAACATATTTAAAAGGTAGATTTATAGATAATTTTTTAGCTCCTCCCTTTATATTGCTGATCAGGTCCTTCAAGTTCAGACTTTGAAAAGGAGACTGGAAAGAGAACATGCATGTGTCATTGCTCTTATGGAGCTTGTTAGCTTAGTAAAGGGGTACATATATAATTCCTCCGTTCCACAAATCCAACCGTGAACAGTGACATTATGATGAGATTTGTTTTATCCTAAATATATTTTCATGTGTATTTGTACTTGTAGTGCACATACAGGTACACACATTTGTGTGTATGTGCATGTGTGTGTGTGTGTTTAGGTTCACAGCAGATTAAGCCCTGCCGTTCATGAATATAATCCATTGCTAGTTCAATTTGCATTGTGAGTTTTAAAGTTTTCCCCTTCTTCTTTTCCAGGTATAGAACAAGATGCAGTGAATACTTTCACCAAATATATATCTCCAGATGCTGCTAAACCAATACCAATTACAGAAGCAATGAGAAATGATATCATAGGTAAGCAGTGCTTGAAGCTATGGCCAAAAAAGCTCCTATTCCTCATTATATAAAGTTCTCTTTTTATCAACATGGAATCCTAGCCTGTTTTCAGATATCTTTTTTTTTCCCCAAGTGTAATAAAGCGTGTTTATTTTAAAGATTACAGACTCTTAAGCACAGTTCTGTGTCCTTTCCAATTACTGCCACGCAATCTGACATTGCTTCCTTTTACAGAAACAGTAATCTTTTTCTTTGCATTTTTAAACCATTTTTTAAAAATATATTTTATTGATTATGCCATTACAGTTGGGCCATTTCCTCTCCCACTCCACCCCTTTAGTTCATGTCCATGTGTCACAAGTTCTTTAGCTTCTACATTTCCCATATTATTCTTGCCCTTTCCCTATCTATTTTCTACCTACCTTCTATGCTACTTATTTCCTGTACCTTCTTCTCCCTTCTCCTTCTCCCACTCCCCTGTTGCTAACCCTCCTTGTGATCTCCATTTCTATGGTTCTGCTCCTGATCTAGCTGTTCACTTAGTTTGCTTTTGTTTTAGGTGTGGTTGTTAATAACTGTGAGTTTGCTGTCCTTTCACTGTTCATCTTTTTTATCTTCTTTTTCTTAGATAAGTCCCTTTAACATTTCATATAATAAGGGCTTGGTGATGATGAACTCCTTCAACTTGACCTTACCTGAGAAGCACCTTATCTGCCCTTCCATTCTAAATGAAAGCTTTGCTGGATAGAGCAATCTTGGATGTAGGTCTTTGGATTTCATGACCTGGAATACTTCTTTCCAGCCCCTTCTTGCCTGTAAGGTCTCTTTTGAGAAATCCGCTGACAGTCTGATGGGAACTCCTTTGTAGGTGACTGTCCCCTTGTCTCTTGCTGCTTCTAGGATTCTCTCCTTCATTTTAATCTTGGCTAATGTAATGGTGATGTGCCTTGGTGTGTTCCTTCTTGGGTCCAACTTCTTTGGGACTCTCTGAGCTTCCTGGATTTCCTGGAACTCTATTTCCTTTGCCAGATTGGGGAAATTCTCCTTTATTATTTGTTCAAGTAAGTTTTCCACTTATTGCTGTTCCTCTTCCCCTTCTGGTACCCCTATAATTCGAATGTTGGAGCGTTTCAAGATGTCCTGGAGATTCCTAAGTCTCTCCTCATTTTTCTGAATTCTTGCTTCTTCATTCTTTTCTGTTTGGTCATTTCTTTCTTCCTTCTGGTCCACTCCACTGATTTGAGTCCCAGATTTGTTTCCATCACTATTGGTTCCCTGTACATTTTGCTTCATTTCACTTGGTGTAGCCTTCATTTTTTCATTTAATTTGCGACTAAAATCAACCAGTTCTGTAAGCATCCTGATCACCAGTGTTTTGAACTGTGCATCTGATAGGTTGGCTATCTCTTTGTCACTGAGAAATACTGACTCTGGAGCTTTGAGCTGTTCTGCTTGAGCCATAATGTTTTTGGTCTGTTTGTACCTGTTATGTATGAGGAGCAAAAGCTTAGGTGTTCACTGGGACTGGTCAGCCCAGTCCCTGGTTTGTGACTGGGGGCAGGGTCAGAGAGGGAGCAGTGGTGTTTGTTGGGCTCTGTCTCAGATTTCAGTCCCCTCTGCCACTTCCCACAAGCAAATTGGGCCCTTCTGTTGCTGGTTCCTGGGTGGGTGGGCTTGTGTTTATTCTAGGATCTTGTGGGTGTCCCCAATGAACTCTCCTGTGAGGCTAGGAGCTTCTAGGAGCTTCTCACGGCACCTCAACCCCTGAAAGTTTTTCCAATTGGTGCTTTTAGGCTTTATTTCCCTTTGTTGGGGCCCTGGGTTGTGTGGTCTGTCTCACTGACTGTTTTTAAAACTGCCTGGTTTATCTGTGCGCAAATGTGTGTCAGTGGTCAGCCAGCCACCTTGCGAGCCTTACTGGGTTTGCTCATTTTGACCCTGTGCCCACCTGGGTCGCCAATCACGGCCTCCTCCTGTCAGGACCCCTTTGCTGGCTGCTGACTCTGCCCCTCTTACTGGTCTGGATGAATGGTTTGTTGTTGTTGTTTTTGGACTTCAGTACAGTTTACTTTTCTGTCTGTTTTGGTTGTGTTTTTGTTTATAATTCTTTGTTGTCCTTAAATTCGGTTGTGTGAGGAGGTACAGTGTTTCTACCTACTCCTCCATCTTGGCTGGAAGTCCCCATTTTTATTTTTTAATTACAGTTGACGTACATTGTTATATTAGATTCAGGTGTTCACCCCAATGATTAGACATAACTTACTAAGAGGTCATACCCATCTGATACAGTACATAGTTATTACAACACTATTGACTATATTTTGTATGCTGTATTTTGCATCACATGACTATTCTGTAACTACCAATCCGTACTACTTAATCCCCTCATCTTCACACACCCACCCCTCACCTTGTCTCCCATCCGTTTTCAGGTATCTGTAACTCACAAGCTTACCCTCTTATATGTTAGGCCCAAATTCTTAGACTTTGACTTGAATAAAAACAACAGCAAGAACAATAATATGACACATTTATTTACTGGGTCCCAGACAACATTCTATGTACTCCATGGGTAAACTCATTTAATCTTCTAAAGAACCTTGCAGCATAAATATAGTTATTATTTTATAAACGAGGAAACTGAAGTACAGAGAGTAAGTAATTTTCCCAATATAACACAGCTCAGACATGGCAGAATCAGGATCTGAACCAGACCTGTACACATTAACCAGTACGCTAATTGGCAGTGTTTTTTAAACTAGATTGAGACCAATCTCTATGCCCTCATCCCACTGCCAAAAAAACAATTGACTAGAAAGTCGAAGTGCTTCACAGTAGTAAAGGCAAAGAAACAATTTCAGGAAGTTGTTTTCATTTTATATACATATATGTATGTGTATGCTGTGCCACATAGCACGTTTCTTTGTAAATCACAAAAAAAGTTAAAGCTTTTACTGTGTTGCCTCAGCAAGTCCTTAAATGTGCACCTGTAATCACAGATAAAAATGGTTCATTTCTTCATCGAACAGCTATTTCCATTAAGTTCTAGTAGTAAGTTATGTATTTTCATTACAATAAATTCGTATTTTTTATTTATGAAATATAACAGGTTATTCAGTTCTTAGCAGATTCTTCCCAGCATGAGGATCTTTCTGTCTTTACTATATAGGTCCTTTGCACTCGCTCATTATTGGAGGCAGCAAAACCTCCCCCAGTCTCAGCTGTGCTTGTTACAGTCAGCCCACCATACTGGCTAGTGAATAGCTGTTAGCTGTTTTGGGGTCCATCATATACTGCCCCCATTGTTTTCCTTTTTTTTCTCTGACAGACACCTGTAACACATAATTCTTAATGGCTCTTGGTGGTTTGTCCTTATCTACCACTATTTTGGGATTTTCACCCAGTTTTTTTTTGCAGAGTTGTCATGGGATTTTAGTTTTTCTATGTAGTTTGTCTTTTTTTATATGGGAATTTGTTGCTACTGTCTTCAAGACTTCCCGAGACTGACTTTTTCTAATAATACAACTGGAGTGTCTTAACTGATTAGAACTTGGCTGGTTAAAGAATTGGATGGCTGTTGATTCCTTAGGAGGTTTGTACCAATTGATAACCAAGGGGAGAAACGGAAGAGGTTTTGAGCCAAATAGAACATTTGAAAATAAAAAAGTCATTTTAATTCTAATTTTTCTTAAACTTTATCAAATTAATGATGTAATCCCATGAGGAGAGAAATCTTCTGAAGGGTCAAGGTAACAGCATCTAGTGATTGAGGGATCTGAGAAAGTTTCCATCCAGTATTTATTATTATGCATTTCAAAAAGTCAATTAACTCTATATCTTTAGAACAATCACTTTTCCTTTCTGAAACTCATTCTTCTAAATCCTGCCCTAATTAGTCTCTTCAATTGGCATATTTTAATACAGCTGTACTTTAAGTAAGTTATTATTTGAAGTCTACACTTAAGCTATTGTTATTGTGTCCTACCTGCGTTGTTTTATTGTAAATGTTATCTATGGGGTTTTGATGTTTCTGTCTAATTAGTTTTTCTGTGCGGTTTCAAACTGACCCAAAGTCTGTATTCCACAGGGTCCTCCATTTTCCACAAATTCTTGAAGTGGTGGGATATTAGAAATACTTTGACAGTATAGCTGACAGAATTGGCTTTTGGCTTGAAAGTGAGTGGTGTGAAAGGGAGAAAGGAATCCATCATGACTCAATATCTGAGAGAGGAGTTACCATTTACAAGATGAGGAGGAGAGTGGGTGTTATAGCTTGTGGGGAAAGTTGGGAGTTTGGGTGTTCGATATGCAAATGGTGAATGTCAGGTAGGAATTTGTACATCTGTGTGGGGAGTTCATGAAAGAGGTCCGGGTTGGAGATATGTTTGAAAGCCATCAGCATATAGATGGGTTTAGTCATGAAACTGGATTATTGTCGAGTGTATGTGATGAGTTAAGACAAGAGACCTAAGGACTGAATTCTAGAGCAGGCCTAACATTCAGAGTCTGTCAGATAAAGGAAGAACTAGCAAAGGAGAGTTAGAAGTAACAGCCAGTCCTGGCTGGTGTAGCTCAGTGGATTGAGTGCAGGCCTGAAAACGTAAGGATCGCGGTTCGATTCCCAGTCAGGGCACATGCCTAGGTTGCAGGCCAGTTCCCAGCAGGGGACGCACGAGAGGCAACCATACATTGATATTTCTCTCCCTCTCTCCTTCCCTTCCCCTCTAAAGATAAATAAATAAAATCTTTAAAAAAAAAAAGTAACAGCCAGTGTAGACTCTTCTACATCAACTATGTGTGAAGAGAGTAGTTTTTCGGCAAGCCAAAATGTTCTGGAAACATTTTTTTGGAAGTGAAAAATGTTTCTGGGGGTAAGGGAGTGATTGAAGGTGTTAAGATATGCTAATAGATTAAGTAAGATGAATAGCAGGAATGGAATGGAGTTGGCAGTCCTATGGGCAGTCGGGCCAGTGATCATCTTAATTAGAATGGACCTTTAGGGACAAAAGCTTAATTGGAAGAGCCTTAAGAGAGAATAGGAGGAATGAAACAGCAAGTACGGGTAGCTCTTAGGAGGCATTTTGCTCTACAGGTGAGCTGGAAGAGGATGCTACATCAAGGGACAGTGGTTTTGGGTTTTGTTTTTGTTTTTTTAAGATGACATATTAAAAATGGATGGTAGCATACAAACAAGTATACAGTGTATTTAGCTGGTGGGAATGAGGCAGTAGCAAAGAAAAATTTGATGTAGGAGAGAATGGGGGACGGTTGCTGTGGTAAAACAGTTATGAGAAGGCAAACAAGGATGGAGTCCTGTGCTCAAATAAAGGCTTGCTCAGGCAAGTGTGAGGACCATTAGTCTGCTGTAACAGGAGAGATAGGTAGAGATACAGGTGGGTTGGTAAACATGGTGGGAAGTAATAGAAATAATTTTCTTTTTTTTTAATTGATTATGCCATTACATTTGTTCTATTCCCCCCTTTGTGCCCCTCCACCACCCTGCACACCCCTCCCCCACCATTCCCCCCCTTTAGTTCATCAACACGTCTCAAGTTCTTTAGATTCTGTATTTCCCCTACTATTCTTACCCTCCCCCCTATCTATTTTCTATCCACTGTCTATGCTACTTATTTTCTGTACCTTCTCCCCCCTTCTCCTTCTCCCACTCCCCTGTTGCTAATCCTCCACGTGATCTTCATTTCTATGATTCACTCCTGATCTAGCTGTCCTCTTAATTTGCTTTTGTTTTAGGTGTGGTTGTTGATAACTGTGAGTTTGCTGTCCTTTCACTGTTCATCTTTTTTATCTTCTTTTTCTTAGGTAAGTCCCTTTCACATTTCATATAATAAGGGCTTGGTGATGATGAACTCCTTGAATTTGGTCTTATCTGAGAAGCACTGTATCTGTCCTTCCATTCTAAATGAAAACTTTGCTGGATAGAGCAATCTTGGTTGTAGGTCTTTGGTTTTCATGACTGGACATGCCCCTTCTTGCCTGTAAGGTCTCTTTTGAGAAATCCGCTGACAGTCTGATGGGAACTCCTTTGTAGGTGACAGTTCCCTTGTCTCTTGCTGCTTCTAAGATTCTCTCCTTCATTTTAATCATGGCTAATGTAATGATGATGTGCCTTGGTATGTTCCTTCTTGGGTCCAACTTCTTTGGGACTCTGAGCTTCCTAGATTTCCTGGAAGTCTATTCCCTTTGCCAGAACGGGGAGTTCTCTTTTATTATTTGTTCAAATAAGTTTTCCACTTGTGGCTGTTCCTCTTCCCCTTCTGGTACCCCTATAATTCGAATGTTGGAACGTTTCAAGATGTCCTAGAGGTTCCTAAACTTCTCCTAATTTTTTTGAATTCTTGTTTCTTCATTCTTTTCTGTTTGGTCATTTTTTCCTTCCTTCTGGTCTACTCCCTTGATTAGAGTCCCAGTCTCCTTTCCATTACTGTTGGTTTCCTGTGCATTACCATTCATTTCAATTAGTTTAGCCTTCATATGTTCCTCTAATTTGTGACTAAAATCAACCAGTTCTGTGAGGATCCTGATCACCAATGTTTTGAACTGTGCATCTGAAAATTTGGCTGTTTCTTCATCACTTAGATTTATCGGCTCTAGGGCTCTGAGTTGTTCTTAAGCCATGTTTTTATCTGTTTGTGCCTGTTATGTATGAGAAACGGAGCCTTAGTTGTTTACCAGGGCGGGGCCACCCAGGTTGCTGGTTTGTGACGCTGTTTGTGGGGGCGGGGTCAGAGAGGGAGCAATGGCGGTCCCACCACCAGTCTGCTCGCCCAATTTGTCCCACCGCTCGCCCCAGCCTATTTATCTGAGCACAAATGTTCGAGCTAGCCACCCTGAGCCGTGTGGTCTCAATGCTCGCCTCTTCACTGGTTTATCTGCATGCAAATGCTCGACCAACCACAGACAGACAGCTGCGCCTCTTCCCTGTGTCCGCCCGTAGCTAGCCCGCACCTGGGATCCGTGCCTTCCGCTGCTTGCACAGCACCCCGATCGGGGATCTTTTTTGGCCAACCCGCTCCGCTGCTGGCTTCGCCCCTCTTACCGGTTTAGCTGAGCATTTGGTTGTTTTCAGACTCTGTATTGTCGATTTTCTGTGTGGTTTGGTTGCGTTTATTGTTGTTAAAACTTTGTTGTTTTTAGATTTGGTTGTGCGCGGACGCAAGGTGTTTCCACCTACACCTCCATCTAGGCGGAAGTCCAGAAATAATTTTCTGATTGTTCCTATTTTATTAGTGAAGTAGGAAGCAAAGAGAATAGAGAGGTGTTAAGATGTGGAGAAGATGTGCCATGTCTAGGAGAATGTAAGAGTAAATGTACCAGGAAACTTTAGTACAGACCTTGGGTTTCAGTAAGTTCCCACTGAGGTCATGGACCTAACATGAAAACAGCCATCGCGGTCGTATGGTTTTTTTTCTGGTGATGTTTAATAGCTTAACAGCTTATTGATGTGCTATAGTTTAGACAATTTCTAACAGCACATTTTTTGTCTTTAAATTTCTATTGAATAACATTTTGATAAACTTTTTTTCCAGATAAATCTTCATACAAATCCATAATCCTTTAGGTTATAGTCCTAGAAATAAAATCACTGATGGAAAGGGTGTGTTCATTTTTAAAGCTTATGCTAGAAACTGCCAAATGTCCCTCCAGAAAGATATGCTAATTTATATTCCCACTATGTTAAGCATTTAAACATATGGATTGTTAAAATACTTTTGTGCTGGTTTACTAGACAAAAGGTGGAGTGCCTTCTTATTTTAATTTGTGGAGCTCTGTGCCAAAGCTTCTGGCACTGTAATATTAGGTAGCATATTTATATGATTACTAATGAGCATGCATATGTTTTCATATTTGCCATTTTATTTTTGTTCTTTTGGAGTTGTCTTTTCATGCTCTTTGATCTTTTATCTTTTGGGACATTTCTTATTAGTTTGTAAGACCCTTGATATACAGAAGATAATCTGTCATATGTAGAGGAAACTCACAAATGCCACAAATTTTTCCTCTAACTTGTTTTTGGAGTGTTTTGATGTATAGAATTAATTTTAGAGTAAGTCTATACTTACCTTCTGTACCTCAAAATCAGCTGTTCTATATATTTTTTTAGTTTCATTTAAAACCTAATTTATTTGTCTTTATAGTTATTTCCTATTTTGATTAATAAATTTTGGATTTAATAGAAATTTAATTATTTATCATTTCTTTGACAGCAAAGATTTGTGGAGAAGATGGACAGGTGAATCCCAACTGTTTTGTTTCAGCACAGTCCATAGTCTTTAGTGCAATGGAGCAAGAGTAAGTTAATTTCATACTTTTATATTTTGCGTTCATTCTTGAGACTTTGGGTTTAGTATTAGGAATGGGTTTCACTAACTGAAAACAATTTATCTTTTAGGATATAAGTATTTTGAATGCTTGTGGGATCTCACAGGCATAACTCTAAGACTATCTTGGTTAGTGTTTTTTATGTAAATTATGAACTCTTAAAAATAAAATAAGTTTTCATTTGTGATGTTAATATTTTCTAAGTTAAAAGAATTTGTTTTTAATTCTGAAGTCATAGTGGTTTAATCTTAACAATTAGAATTGGTTTGTTTATTTAAACAATGCATGTATCTTTGGGTAAATATCCTAATTTGTTAGTGCATGCTGGTGAAACTGCCTCCAAAGGGCTTTTTTTTAATTATTATTATTACTTACTGCTGCATGCTCTTAAAAAGAATCTTCTTATTCATTCTTATATTTAACATTTGTGAAAGGGTGCTTTCTGTGTTCAAGGCCTAGTTAGATATAGTACCTGCCTGAAAGGAAGTTGCAGCCTAATGAGAGAAATAGGTCATGTTCTTCTGTTACTGTAATATTAGGTAGCATGTGTTGGATATCAGGAAAGCTATAGAGTCACCAAGAGGCAGGAGAGATACTTACAGGGAGAGGAATCAGGAGCTGCCCCGTGGGAAGGGAGGTGGTGTTGACCTAGGCTTTTAAGATACAATAGGCACGGTATGGAAAGAGTGTATTTTTCCCAATTAAGCTCTTTCCCTTGGTCATTCCCTCAAATTGTTCCTTTTTGTCCATGTGCAGGCACTTTAGTGATTTTCTGCGAAGTCATCATTTCTGTAAATACCAGATTGAAGTGTTGACCAGTGGGACTGTTTACCTGGCTGACATTCTCTTCTGTGAGTCAGCCCTCTTTTATTTCTCTGAGGTAAAATCTGCATTTCCTTTCATATTGTTAGAACATTTCAGTCTCTAAAATATAAATGCTGGTGCCCTGTCTATAGAAAATACCATAGAAGAGACAAATCATTTTCCAATAGGTCAACTAGATTTAAATAATTTTATTATTGTTTAAGTTGTATGTAATGCCAAGAGAACTTTAATGACATATTAGTCAGATTAAAGAGAGAGCCTGAAAATTCATTATAAAAAAGCTGATTTTAGAAGACCTAATTAAGAAGAGGCATATTTTAAATTATTTGGAGCTGTTTTAAAACCACAGAATTTGATACTTGATTCTAGTATGCAGACATTTGCAGACCAAACTTCAGAAGAGAAAAAGGAAAGTAGTAAATTTTTTCCTACTGTCATCACCTTTGCTTTAGTCACTTAGTGGGATTGCACAGTAAAGCATCTGCAAAACACAATGAGATATTAATCTCTGGGGAAAACATTTTACATACCATGTATTTGTAAATAGCACGCTCCCACGTATAATGTGCACCCACACTTTTGGCTCAAAATTTCAGGAAAAAAATCTCTCATTTTAATTTTTCAATTCAGATTTTTACTTCTTTATATTTATATATATTTTTTTTCACTTTTATCATGTGAATATTGTTTTATTTTTTTTTATTTATTTATTTTTTTTTTTTTTATTTAGTTACTTTTCAAGTACATTTTTTTTTTCCCTTCCCCCCCCCGCCCGGTCTCCCCCCTCCCTCCCATTCCCCCCCCACCCCCAGTCCTCAACTCTGTGTCTTTCATACTTGTTCCTCAAAATCCCTCCCCCTTTTTCCCCTCAAGTTCCCTTCCCTCTCCCCTCTGGTCGCTGCCCACTTGTTCTCTATTTCAGCATCTTTGTTTTTATTCTGTTTGCTTGTTTGTTTTATTCTTTAGCTTCCTGTCAAAGGTGAGATCATATGGTATTTGTCCTTCAATGCCTGGCCTATTTCACTCAGCATAATGCTTTCCAGTTCCATCCATGTTGTTGCAAAAGGTAGTGTAGCTCCTTCTTTCTCTCTGCTGCATAAAATTCCATGGTGTATATGTACCACAATTTTTGGATCCATTCATTTACTGATGGGCACCTAGGTTGCTTCCAACTCTTGGCTATTGTAAATTGTGCTGCTATGAACATTGTGGTGCATAGGTTCTTTGAAATTGATGTTTTAGGATTCTTGGGGTATAATCCTAGCAGTGGAATTGCTGGGTCAAAAGGCAGGTCAATTTTTATTTTTCTGAGAAAATTCCATACTGTTTTCCATAATGGTTGTACCAGTCTACAATCCCACCAACAGTGAACTAAGGACCCCTTTTCCCCACAACCTCTCCAACATTTGTTGTTTGTTGCTTTGTTTATGATAGCCATCCTGACTGGTGTAAAGTGGTATCTCATTGTGGTTTTAATTTGCATCTCTCTGATAGCTAACGATATTGAGCATCTCTTCATGTGTCTCTGAATGTTCTGTATGTCCTCCTTGGAGAAGTGTTTGTTCAAGTCCTTTTCCCATTTTTTAATTGGGTTGGGTGTCTTCTTAGAGTGGAGTCGTGTAAGTTCTTTGTATATTTTGGAGATTAAACCTTTGTCTGAGGTATCATTGGCAAATATGTTTTCCCATACAGTTGGTTGTCTTTTTAATTTAATACTGTTTTCTTTAGCCATGCAGAAGCTTTTTATTTTGATGAGATCCCATTTGTTTATTCTTTCCTTTATATTCCTTGCTCTAGGGCACATATCCGTAAAAATGTTGCTGCGTGGAATATCTGAGATTTTCTTGCCAATGTTCTCCTCTAGGACTTTAATGGTGTCATGGCTTTTATTTAAGTCTTTTATCCACCTTGAATTTATTTTGGTGTATGGTGTAAGTTGGTGCTCAAGTTTCATTTTTTTGCACGTAGCTGTCCAGTTCTCCCAACACCATTTGCTGAAGAGGCTATCTTTACTCCATTTTATGTTACTGCCCCCTTTGTCGAATATTAATTGACTGTAGAGGGTTGGGTTGATTTCTGGGCTCTCTGTTCTGTTCCATTGGTCTATGTGCCTGTTTTTATGCCAGTACCAGGCTGTTTTGATTACAGTGGCCTTGTAATACAGTTTGATATCAGGTATTGTGATCCCTCCTACTTTGTTCTTCTTTCTCAAAAGAGCAGCTGCTATTCGAGCTCGTTTATGATTCCATATAAATTTTTGAAGTGTTTGTTCTATGTCTGTGAAATACGCCATTGGTACTTTAATAGGTATTGCATTGAATCTGTATATTGCTTTGGGTAGTATGGACATTTTGATGATGTTAATTCTTCCAATCCATGAACAAGGTATATGTTTCCATTTGTTTGTGTCTTCCTTGATTTCTTTCTTCAGTGCTGTGTAGTTTTCTGCATACAGGTCTTTTACCTCTTTGGTTAGGTTTATTCCCAGATATTTTATTTTTCTTTTTGCTATATCGAATGGGATTTTTTCCTTGATTTCCGCTTCTGCTGATTCATTGTTTGTATACAAAAATGCCTTTGATTTCTGGATATTGACTTTGTATCCTGCTGTTTTGCCAAACTCATTAATTAGTTTGAGCAGTTTTTGGGTAGAGTCTATAGGATTTTCCATGTACACTATCATGTCATCTGCAAACAGTGACAATTTTGTTTCCTCCTTTCCTATTTGGATGCCTTTTATTTCCTTTTCTTGCCTGATCGCTGTGGCCAAAACTTCTAATACTATATTGAATAGGAGTGGTGAAAGTGGACATCCTTGTCTTGTTCCTGATCTTAGTGGAAAAGCTTTTAGTTTTTGTCCATTGAGTATGATATTGGCTGTAGGTTTCTCATAAATGGCCTTTATTATATTGAGGAATGTTCCCTCTATTCCCATTTTGCTGAGTGTTTTTATCATAAATGGGTGTTGTACCTTATCGAAAGCTTTTTCTGCGTCTATTGATATGATCATGTGGTTTTTGTCTTTGCTTTTGTTTATGTGATGAATTACATTTACTGTTTTGCGAATGTTGAACCATCCTTGCATCCCTGGGATGAATCCCACTTGGTCAGGGTGTATAATCTTTTGGATATATTGTTGGATGCGATTTGCTAATATTTTGTTGAGGATTTTAGCGTCTATGTTCATCAGCGATATTGGCCTGTAGTTTTCTTTCTTTGTTGTATCTCTATCTGGTTTTGGAATTAGGATGATGCTGGCTTCATAAAAGGAGTTAGGGGAGTTTTCCATCCTTTTGTATTTTTTGGAATAGTCTGTGAAGAATGGGGGTTAGGTCTTCCTTAAATGCTTTGTAGAATTCTCCTGTGAATCCATCTGGTCCAGGGCTTTTGTGTGATGGGAGTTTTTTGATTACTGCTTCAATTTCTTTTGCTGTTATTGGTCTATTCAGGTGTTCTACTTCTTTTTCATTGAGTTTTGGGAGATTATATTTTTCTAGAAATGTGTCCATTTCCCCCTAGGTTCTCAAATTTCTTGGCATACAGTTCTTCATAGTAATTTCTTACAATCCTCTCTATTTCTGTGGTATCAGTTGTAATCTCTCCTCTTTCATTTCTGATTGTGTTTATTTGTGTCCGTTCCCTTCTTTTCTTGATGAGCCTACTTAAAGGCTTGTCTATTTTGTTTATTTTTTCAAAGAACCAACTCCTGGATTCATTGATCTTTAGAATTGTACTTTTAGTCTCTATGTCATTTAGTTCTGCTCTGATCTTAGTTATTTCCTTCCTTCTACTTGCTTTGGGCTGTTTTTGTTGTTGTTCCTCGAGTTCTTGCAGGCGTAGAGTAAGTTCATTTGTTTGAAATGTTTCTGTTTTCTTAAGGTAGGCCTGTATTGCTATAAACTTCCCTCTCAGGACTGCCTTGGCTGTATCCCATAAGTTTTGGGTTGTTGTGAGATCATTTTCATTTGTTTCCAGAAACTTTTTGATTTCTTCCCTAATTTCATTCTTGACCCATTCATTGTTTAATAGCATACTGTTCAGTCTCCATGATTTTGGGTGTTTTGGGTTTTTTCCTTTGGGGTTGGTTTCCAGTTTCAGTCCCTTATGGTCAGAGAAAATGCTTGGTATGATTTCAATATTCTTGAATTTGTTGAGGCTTGTTTTGTGCCCTATCATGTGATCTATCTTTGAGAATGTTCCATGTGCATTTGAAAAGAATGTGTATTTAGCTTCTTTGGGGTGAAGAGCTCTGTATATATCAGTTAGGTCCATTTCATCAAGGGTGTTGTTTAATGCCACAATGTCTTTGTTGATATTTTGTTTGGAAGATCTGTCCATTTTTGATAGTGGGGTGTTAAAATCCCCCCACTATAATTGTGTTGCTGTCTATATCTTTCTTGAATTCCTCTAAGATTTTCCTTATATATTTTGGTGCTCCTATGTTGGGTGCATATATATTTATGATGTTAATGTCTTCTTGGTGGATTTTTCCCTTGAGTATTATGAAGTGACCTTCTGGGTCACTCTTAATGGCTCTTTTTTTGAAGTCTATTTTGTCTGATATGAGAATTGCTACCCCGGCTTTTTTTCTTGTCCGTTTGCTTGGAAAATTTGTTTCCAGCCTTTGATTTTTAGTCTGTGATGGTCTTTTGTCCTGAGGTGGGTCTCTTGTAGGCAGCATATGTGTGGATCATACTTTCTTATCCATGACGCTATTCTGTGTCTTTTGATTGGAGCATTTAATCCATTTACATTTAAGGTTATTATTGATAGGTACTTATTCATTGCCATTTTTGTATCTGTGTTCCTCTCTGTCTGTCTCTTTTCCTTCCTTTCCTTAGAGCAGACCTTTTAGTATTTCTTGTAGAACTGGCTTGGTGGCAGCAAATTCTTTTAGACTTCTTTTGTCTTGGAAGCTCTTTATTTGGCCTTCTATCTTGATTGAGAGCCTTGCTGGGTAAAGTAGCCTTGGTTGTAGGCCTCTGGTTCTCATTACTTGGAATATTTCTTGCCAATCTCTTCTTGCTTGGAGTGTTTCCATTGAGAAGTCAGTGGCTAACCTTATTGGGATGCCCTTGTATGTTATTTCTTTTTTTCTCCCTT